TACTTCACAGGCATTGAGGAAGCTATCCAAATATTCATTTGGAACAGGAAGAGACCTAGAATAGCAAAAGCAATTTTAGGCAATAAAGACAAGGTAAGGGTATCACAATCCCCAATTTGAAACTATACTACAAAGCCCCTTTGATAAAAACAGTATTAGCAAAAAAACAGACCTGAAGAAGGGCAGAACAGATTACAAGATGCAGAAACAACTCAAGACACAGTCAGCCACCTCATCTTCGACAAAGGAGCCAAGCACCCTCACTGGAGGCAATATAGCCTCTTTAATAAATGGTGCTGGAAAAACTGGATTTCAATCTTACAAAGATTAAAACTAGACCTATATCTCTCACCATCAACTAAACTAAAATGGAGATGAATTAAAGATCTAAATATTAAAACTGAAACACTAAAATGGCTGAAAGAGAGGTTAGGTAGAACTCTTGAAGACATTGGTGTAGGAAAAGATTTTATGAACAAAACCTCAGCTGTCCATGAACTAGCACAGGCAATCAAAAAGTGGGATGTCTTCTTATTAAAAAGCTTCTGCACAGCAAGAGAAACATCCAATAGTTTGAAAAGACAACCCACAATGTGGGAAAAACTTTTCACCAGCTCTTCCTCAGACAAAAGTCTACTATCTAGAATATATAAAGAACTAGAAAAATCAGACCTTCCAAATTTAAAGACCCAATCCAAAAATGGGCATCTGAAATGAACAGACACTTCTCAAAGAAGTAGAAATGGCAAGTAAACATATGAAAAAATGTTCATCATCACTGGTCATTCGAGAGATGCAAATGAAAAGAACACTGAGATTCCACCTCACCCCAGAAAGAATGGCTGTTATCATGAAATCAACCAATAACAAAGGCTGGCAGGGCTGTGGGGAAAGAGGAACCCTGCTCCACTGCTGGGGGGAGTGTAGACTGTTGCAACTATTGTGGAAATCACTATAGAGTTACCTCAAAGAACTAGGATTGGAGGTCCCATTTGAGCCAGCTACCCCTCCTCCCCCCCGCTGGGTATCTACCACAAAGAATTAAAAGAATTGTACCACAGTGATATATGTGCACCCATGTTCATAGCAGCACAATTCGTGATGGCTAAAACTTGGCAGCAGCCCAAGTGCCCATCAACGGGAGACTGCATAAAGAAAAAGAAATTTTAATAAAATGGAGTACTACTCAGCCATATAGGATGAGAAATGAGAGACTTTTATAGCTAAATGGATGCATATTCACTCAAGTGAAATAAACAGGACACATATGTGTAAATACTGAGTAGTTCTGTAGTGTGAGAAACTGAAAGTGTAAGTAAGGACTAAAAGGTATAATAGATAATGTGAAATAGGAAGAAAAGGTGCAAAGGGAAAAGGGAAGTGGGAGGGGGAGGGGAAACGAAAGGGGAATGGAATGAATATGAGAAGAAGAAAAAAATGGAAACAAAGTCTTTGTAGATAGGGAGGGCTGGAGGGGTTGAATGGAGGGTAGGAGAATGGGGAAAAATAAGAACTAAGATGGATCATGTAAAGGTGCAAATTTCCAATGATGATCGTCGTTATATTGCATACCTTAAAAGCAGCAATAAAATCAATTATAAAAATAGAGTGATTGCCTTCTGTACTCGCCTGCCGTTTACCCTCACAGAAGTAACCCTTGCAAGTCCTAGGTGTGATTAAGAAAATGCTATTTTAAATATTTATTAGTATTTAAAAATATTTCCCCTTGCTTCCAATACATTCATCCCACCCTTCTTTCCATTGTGAGAAGCAGTTCTGGAAGTCCCTTTTGTGAGTGTCTACTTGTGGCTGCTTAGATATTTTCAATGTCCTGAATCACGGTCATTTTGACTTTGTGGAAAAGTCAAAGTAGCACAGTGGCAAATCCAGTGAATAAGATGGATGAGTGAGTACTCACTGTAATATCTTTGTCTGTCAGAAATTGATGATGGAATAAGTGAGTTTGTGGCTAGGGAGAGTATTTTGAGAGAGATTGATAGCAGTGTTCCTTCTACTATAATAACTTTTAAAAATTTAATTACTCATGATATTGTTTCATCATACTTTATAGATCTCTCAATATTATTTCTTGGGTTTTCCACCTCCTTTTGTGATTTTAGGTGTTAGCTAGATCACGATTTATTACTGAAGTGAAGAATAATATTGTTTCACCGCTGCCCATTCCTTAATAGTTATAATTTTGGTTAGATCAGTATTATAATTATAATTATAATTTGGGTTAGATCAGTATTTAATGTTTGTTTTTTCTTAACTATGGCTATTCAAATTCAATAATGGCTATTTTCCTTTCCTGAAAAAATACACCTATTTTTATTTCTCAATTTAATATTTGTTGTGCTCTTTCCCTTTGGTTGCATTTATATGAAACTGGTGATGTGCTAAAAATAAAAATTAAACAAAAACTAATGAATTAAAATGGGACCTATACAGCAAACAATAATCAATACAAACTGGCATAGGAATATCAATATTTTCAAAAGCATTTATAATAAGCAATGATAAGGATAGATTTTACACAATGAAGATATTATCTCTGAAGAAATCATGTGTTTCTTTAAGTATTGTGAAACTGGGTAAGTAAAACGTTTTATATTCATGTGACATGATATGAGTAAATTAAAAAGATCATGGTTATATCTCAAAAGACAAAGCTCAGTTGCAGAAGATAAAATATAAGAATTTAAAACTGTTTGCCTACCAGGGAATAAACAAAAAATACACAGAACTCAAAGGTTACATATCAAACCAACAAGAGCTGTTGTGAAGATGGGGAAGAAAATGCCATTCCGTTTTAAGAAATTTTTTTTTTTTTTTATGAAGGCTATGAGCAAATACATCAAAATATTAATGTTGTGGAAGGAATTGGCAAGTGATACACAGAAAGGAAGCAGAAAGGAAGTAAAATAAAATCGTTTACTCCATTGATGGGGTTTGATGACATCTAATGGCGGTGCCCTGATTGATCCCTACTGGGTTACAACTCCTTCTTTTATAGGGTTTTACAGCCTTGATCTTATTCAGTTGTTTACATTGCATTTTCACAGTTCACATTGCTGATACCCAAAACATGGAGGCGAGGCAGTTGAATTTCAACCTGGATGCAGTTCTTTGTTAGGGGAGGTTACCTTTAAGATTTATTTAGTTCTCCCTTCTAGCTAGCTGGGAAAGGAGTGTGTTTTGGTCAGCAAAGCTAACAATGGTTTCACTTTTCACTTGCAAAACTTTTGAGGGAGACTAGATGCCTCCAGTGCCAGTTAATTCTGAACTAAACAGAGCAAAGGGCAGAAGTTGTCTTACATTGTGACATTTCCTAGGTTTTCGCTATTAAAATTTTCCCTATCATTACCACCTTCTAGGAAGTCATGGTGATTGTTAGTGTTTTTGTAGTTTTCTATAAACTATTGACAAAAATACATTCACATTTAGCTTGTTTGCCTTTTAGTCACGAAAAGTATAAATAGTTGGGTAACTCATTATTTCCTAACACTTTTATCTTTTGATTCTGATTTTTTCTTTTATTCTGACGTTGCCATAGTGTCTAATCTTTGATTTCACATTTACATGAAGTATTCTAGTATTTTCTTAAGGAATAATTGACAGAATGATATAAATGACTGGTATGTTTGAGTATTTTGATTGTGGCTTAACTTTCCTTCCTTCCTTCCTCCTCCTCCTCCTCCTTCTTCTCTCTCTCTTTTTCTTTCTGTGGCGCCAATGAGCTAAATCCCTGACCCTTCCATTTTATATTTTAACTAAGTTACAAAATCATAGGGGAAAGGGAATAAGGGAAAAGAAAAAATATGAGAAAATGAAAAAAATGGAAATAAAGTGTTTGATTGTGGCTTAACTTTCCTTCCTTCCTTCCTCCTCCTCCTCCTCCTTCTTCTCTCTCTCTTTTTCTTTCTGTGGCGCCAATGAGCTAAATCCCTGACCCTTCCATTTTATATTTTAACTAAGTTACAAAATCATAGGGGAAAGGGAATAAGGGAAAAGAAAAAATATGAGAAAATGAAAAAAATGGAAATAAAGTGTTTTTAAACAGGGAGGGGAGGGGGGGAGGTAGTGGGGATCAAACTTGGGGCCTTACGCTGGCGCTAGCGAGGCAGGCAGCAGAATTACTGAGATAAATCCCCAGCCCTACCCAAGGGGTTAGAGACAAAGCTGGTGTCTCTTTATAAATTTGGCTTTGTAGGTTCTAGACTTTTGACATCTGCACATCAACCAGAAGTTTTCTTCCTTTTAAAACTGTCTTCCAGTTACAAGCAATAGATAGGAGAGAAAACATTGTGGTTCAGATGAAATTTTATATCAGTTACTGCTTTTCTGGAATCACCCATTATAGTAAAACGTGTTTTTTTTTTAAATTTAGAAACATATACATGTTAGTGAAAAAACTTGGAGAATTTAAATGCAAAAAATAAAAATACCAAGGTCATCCCTAACTGTGGACATCTTCCACAGTACATTTAAATACGTTCTGAGAGGACATATTAAAAAGAGAAAGAAAATTATAGACTTCAAAATGATTTTTAAAAACGAGTGGTTGTTTTGAGTTGCGGGATTACGAATAATTATTATTTTAGGCGGTTTTTTGCTGCACAGTCCCGCAAAAAATTTTTACTTCCAAAAGAAAGAACATGTCATGGAAGAAATGAATTCTTTCGTTTTATTCCTTTCGAATTATTCGAATAAACAATTCTTTCTATGATATTTCACTAACCAAAATTAACTCATTCATCTCCTAAAACTCCCGCGTTAACAATCAAATTGGCTCAATGACCAGAACTTCCTTTCCCATAATTCCTGTCTCACTAGTTTCCCAAAAATCCGAGGGCTTCAAACATCCGCCCAATAAGAGAGGAAGTTAGCCCCCCTCACTCTTTATTGGTCTTTCACGATTGGTCCCGCCTCACCCTCTAAGTTTGAGGCTGTTGATTGGGTAGAATTGTGGGCGGAACGGATTTTGACAGCCGGCCCGGAGGCGTGTCTACAGACGCCCCCAAATTGTACACACTCCTGCGGCACCATGTACCGCGCGCTCAGGCTCCTCGCGTGGTCGCGTCGCCTCCTGCGGGCTCCAGCCTTAGCGTCATCTCCCGGCGTGGGTGGCGCGGCCGTCCTCCCACTCTGGTCCCAGAACGCCGCTCGAATGGTGAGCGTGGGCCTTGGGTCCCCGGCCTCTCCGTGGTGACCTTCAGCTTTCCTGCTCGTTAGCGGGGACGCCCGCGGGTTGGCGGGAGCGAGTCCCCTGGCGTTCTGGCCCAGCGGTCCTGGGCTCTGCGCCCGTCCTAGCGCTGCAGCC